TTATATGTTTAAAAATATTTATATATATTTATTTTAAATATAATTTATATATTCAAATATAGTATTTTTTTATATAATTTATTATAAATTTTAATTATATTATACAATATAAACATATTTGTACATTATATAGACTAAAATACTAGTAATACTATATGTTGAAAATAAACAATAAAACTTGTACTCAAACTCAACTAATGTAGTTGTGAATGTTAAAAAAGAACTTATAAATTACTCATCAGATGTAATGCATTGAATTCACATCAATATTATATGGCACACATTGAGATTTAGAATGATCAAAGTATCAACTTGTACAATGTGATCTGCTAACTTAAAGAAACCCAAGTACTAGTCGTAAATGCAAATCATATAGGATTTCATTAGGGTGCAAATGGAATACATTTTCATCAACATCTTTTAGGTCATACAACTGTAGCATTTAGAAAGAAAAGTGATGTTGGAGATCCCACTTATATTCTATTATTTAACGTTATTTCTAATCGATGTATGAATTTTAATATGTCCCTCGTACTAAAGACACAAACATTTTAAGTGTGAAATTAATTTACAAAATTTGAAATTTGTCTAATAATGAGTTATATGAAAGACTCAATAATTATTAAGATAGATTTTTGTCATCTTAAAAATGTGAAATTCAATCTAGTTCCATCTTATTTTTTTATTGACGTGAGATCTTAACAAGTAACTCTTACACCAATCTTGTTGTATATTTCATTCATCGAGTAGTAAAATTGGAAAATAGAACCAACTTACCTGTAGTAGATCTCCAATGTTTACTACTAGAGCTCCAGGAACCGGGGGAACATCAACCCATCCATTATGGCTCAAAACTTGGAGCCCTCCAATGTGATCTTGAAGCAAAATTGTTAAGAAATCAGGATCAGAGTGCCTGGTAGTGCCCATAGTGAGTTCTGGCTCAGGACATGATGGATAATAGTGAAACAATATTGAGTGTCCCTTTGCACAATCCATGCTTTCAAGATGGTCGGTGTTGAGTCCAAGTGCTTCTGATAATAACCCAAATAAAACTCTCCCCAACACCTGAACTTGCCTAGAGTATTCCATTGTTATATCCCTACATATCAAATCAAATCACCCCCAAAAGAAAAACAAAAAAAAATCATTTTAGGTACAAAACAATTGCTTTTTCATTTTTTTCAATTATAACAAAAATCCATATTTGAGGACTCTACATTTCTACCCTACGGTGACTACATTTCTATCATATGTCATTAGTCTTTTAAATTTGAAGAAAATTTATTTTAATTTCTCAAATTTAGAATTGACTCTTTTAGTTTCTAAAAATTCAAAACAACTTGGTTTAAACTCTTTAGACTAACTATAGCATTATTGACAGACATAAGCTGAATCATTTGTAGAACATCAGTTGAGTTGAAGGTAAAGTTTGATACTAATAAGTTTTGTGTGAAAATTTACTAATATGTGAGTTTTATTTGATAAATATGTTAATGACCTTTGATTAGAGACAATGTAACAAGTTATTTTTGTTCTTCAAATTAAAATGCTTGAAAATCAATTTTAAAATTGAAAAAAAAAATTATTTCTAAATTTGAGAGATTAAAAATATATAAAAAAAAGTATTTTATTTTTTTCTTCTAACCCCATCCATAAAAAACTCATACAAGTAAATAGGAAAAACCATAGATGTATTCCCTTTTATCTAAAATTGTTGATGTAGAACAAATTTCAAGTTTCATTAATGTCTTTTTTTTTATTACATATTTTCAATTTAATAATCATGTCTTATTTCACGACTATTCTTATAATAAATGGTAAATGGCGATATGTTAAACTAAACATACTAATTTATTAATAATATTTATTAAGATGTGTTTTAACCTTAAAAATGATTTGGGATTGGATAGAGTAATTTTTCATGTGCTTTTTAATACTGTATTAATTTTCCATTAAATTGATGAAGATTCATCTCGAAATTTATGTTGATATTTAATGCATACTATGATACATAAATTACCAAAAATCTAATTTGAATTGCATGTAAGTTTAGTCATACTAAATAATCTCAATACCATGCAAATGAAACTTGAGTTCATACACAGATAAAAAAAAAAGAATATTGAAAGTCGAAAGTTACCTAATGATAGAAGGCACTTCTTGAGGATCAAGAGGTTGAGGAGCCATGACACAGAAAAGAGTGTCCCTCCAATTAGCATACTTGGACTGATACAAATCAAAGTTGCTTCCATACTTCACCTTCTTCAGAAGCTCCCTGCTATAATACTCGCCCTTCACCTCTTGCGCCAGCTCGTGGAACTCACGCGCCGCCGCCAACGCCTCCTCCAACACCGTCACCGGTATCCCGTGATTCACCACTTGGAAGAACCCCACCGTCTCCGCCGCCTGCCGGACACCCGCCACCGCGCCGGAGCGGTCTCCGGCGACGTCCCCGAGGTCGATTACGGGGATCCTGAAGTGGGCACCGGGGGGCTCGTGGGAAAGTGTGTCGGCGGCGGCGAGGTCTTCCGGCGGACGGATGAAGAATGGTGGGAGTTTGGTGACGCCGGCGTCGACGAGGCCCTTGACGCCGGCTTTGGATTGGTCGAAGGCCTTTAGTTGATCCAATCGGTGGTGGGGTGTGGAACTTCCGGCGCCGGCGACATCCATTATGGTTTGGTGTGCTACGAAATTAGCTTCGTGATGTTTTTTTAATGTGAGTGTTTGGTGTGCTACGAAGTCTGTCTTGGTGTTCGTTCACACGTGTGTGTGTCGGATTTTATTTTTAAGGATGGTGTCTTTTAAGCCTGAGAACCGGGGCTTAATTTTCTAAAGCCGATGAAAAAAAATTGAGTTGTTTTGTTTGCAAATCGATTATTATATTGGATAAGTTGGACCATGATTCTTAGTTTTATCGAATTGGAGGAATATTTTGGTTTGTCAAAAAGCTCAACAGCAGAGGGAGGGGTAAAGTGAAGGCTTTTTCACACTGTTTTGATGTTCCTCCTTAGATGAGGAGAGTGGCAAAGCAGGGAAGAGGGAGAAAGAAATAGAGTAGGGGAGATGACTGATGAGGATATGCATGATAGGGAAGTGAGAGATGGGAATTGGAGAGTGGATATAGATAATTTCATTAGTTTCAATCCCAAATCCCAAATCTACCACACTTCACTGTTTTTAATATATTTCCAAATCGATTAAGATTCATACCTCGATTATCTCCATTTCATTTTTTTTTTTTCTTCGGCTAAAACGACTTCGATCAGGGTGGTAAATTTTGATCAACCCCTATTGTCTATAGTCGTGCAATTCATTATGATTTCATCACATTGTATCTTATTATAAGGGTTTTAGTGGTATATTTATAGTATAGAATTCTTGATGTGATTGTAAATTCGATCGATGATAAAAGAAAAATCAATCATAATTTACGATAAATGATAGGTTTATGAAAATTTATAATAATTATTTTAAAAGTCTTACAAATTATGAAGAAAAAAAATACTAATAATACATTATAATTAAACTCATTTTACAATATTTTATGAATTTAATAAAATATGTTATAAAAATAAAAATTTTACATAATCAATCAGTTTATATGACTTTTAAGATGATTATTATTAATATTTTAAAAGTTGATAAATTTATAAATTATGATTCATTGATCGCCTAAAATTGTTTTACACCGAGAGTGTATTATATCATCTTTATTATGTGAAACCAACAACTAAATAAAAAATATCTACGTTACCAACTACTACCTCAAGTCCTAATGGATGGATGCATTTTGAGTTTTATGGTGGGAATTGTCCCCGCAAAATTTTACATTTTACTTATATGTATTTAACAAAATAATTTTTTGCCCCACAAAAATAATAAGTATTATCTTCATAAAATAATTTTCTTTTAAATAAGAAAAAATTATAAAAGGTAAGCAAAAAATTAATATTAATTTTATTACTTTTAACCTTCTAATTTTTATCATTTCACCTTTTTATCATAAAAATTAGAATGACAATAATAGAAGAGTTTAAACTTAAGATCTATTACATACTATTTTAATCCTTCATTACTAATCTTTTTTTTTTTTTTTATGAATAAAATGGTAAATAGTGAATGACACCTCTAAGATTATTACTAAAGGAGCTAAGAACATACTAAAGATTCTTCGACTAAGCATCATTGTCCACTTAGTAATTTAGTAGTGTTCAATTTGACATAAAATTAACTTTATCTGTTGAGTTGATGATTCATAAAGGCTCATTAGAGAAATCTCACGTTTGATACTAAGAAATTTACTTGAATAGATATGTTACCAAAGTAAAGTTTTAATGGTTATAGAGAGTGTTTAACCTATCATAGAAAATGCAATCTTGGACTAGATCTTAGATCATTTATATCAACCTACAATGGTCCCTTCACTACTAATTTGATCTTAGTACTTTCATTTTACTTCTTTGGTGTATTAAACAAGTTAATCAAGATTATAAATACAAATCTCATTATAATTTCAAACAGAAAAAAATCCATAATAACTAGTTTTCTATAAAAAAAAAAATGAAGAAGAAGAAGAAAACTAATACACTAATATTTTTAATCCTAGTGCTTCTAGACATCATTTGAGAAGTTTTAACTTCCTAATATTTATGATATAACTATTTGGATATCTTGATAATAAATTTTTCATCATGCTTTGACTTACCTTGAATGAATGATTCAAAATAGTTTTGAATCTATAAGTTTTACAAAAGCTTGACTCATTGATATAAAAATTCTTTTCTAAATATTATTTCATACTTATTAATTTGAAATAAAAAATGAGTTGGGTTGAATTGATATGAAATTCACTCAATTCAATAATAACTAAATAAATTTAAAATTCAATTTAAATATTTTCTTTTCATTAATCGAGTGTTTAAGTTCACAAATGACTCCATTCAATTTAAAATTAGGATTATTTAAGTAAAATTATCCTAATATCGCACATATTCTAAATGTCACTAAATCAAATTTAAATGTGCAATAAATTTTTAAATAGAAAGGGAGTATCTCTGATTTTTTTTTATGCTTTTTAATACATATTGTATTACTATTTTTTTTTTTTTTTTTGTATTTATAAAACTGAGATACCTGTGCAGTGTACATATCCATATATACCTAGTGGCTAGTTGAATCTTATGTTTGATCAGCCATGACCCATGAGTTGAAAAGATTGTCAGTTGTTCTGAAACAAGTGTTGAGGCACATCACAATAGGTTGAAATTGGTGGGTACCCCATTTCCAACTCCAGCCACTCATTATTCATTAGGGTTACATACAAATAGTCTCAAGTACTCTGAGAATAATATACACAACAATCTTTTTGTATTATCATAATACAAAAACTATAAGCGTTTCTCTTCTATAATAAAAATTATCTAAGAGTGCCTTCACCATGTTCTATCTCTAGAACTAGATGCAGCTTATTTAAAAATTAAAATTCACTAGATAATGAAAAATGAAAATCTTAGTCCATAAAAGGCACACTTAAGCCAACTCCAATAGAATCAAGAGTGCTCCAAACTAATTCACAACCTGAAAGGCTGCAAGGGAGTGTTCCCATCAAGGCCTTTTTCATCAAAATAATGTGCCATAACATCTTTCACAGTAGTGTCCCTAAACATTGCTGGGTTTTCTTCTGATAATAGTTCCTTTATTGGACCAATAACCTTAGATGTACCCTGTGGTGATGTGTTTACAAAGAAACTTGCTATTGAAATTCTGGGGCCTATATGCCTCGCTAAGACCCGGTGATACGCACTCACGAACACGCCATTTGTTACAAGCTGCACCAATCAAAAGGACTAGATTGATAAATATACATAATCATCAGAAGTTGTTATGTCAGTGATTTATATTGGCAAAATCATAAAAATAGATTGCAGAAGTACCAAAATTTCAAGAATAAAACATGACATTCTCTATGATATTCTAGTTGGTAATTATAACTCGTTATTGATGGAAATCCTATAAAAGTGCCGAAAATAATTTAGGCTGTTATGTTCAGTTGTTCACCATGTCTTATGAAAAGTTTCCAACTTATTGCTGTAAGCAAAGTAAATGTAGATGACCATGCTAATTTTGTGTAAAACTAGATTTCTAGAGGACTAGTGTAAGTTAGCAATGAAAAGGTGTAAACACAGTTAATTTGAATTGTAGTAACAATGCATGAAGAGGAATATGGTCTCATTTTATTTCATTACATGGTTTCTAGTCTTGCCTTTTATTGAGTTTTGCAGGTTATGGATTGACAACTCCAATTACATTAAATTAAACATTGTGCAATTCTTTTATCAACTTTTGTTGTTACAAAGAAAGTAATATTTTTTTTTGTTTCCACAAGTGCCTCCTAGGCAATTTTGTTTGAAGTACAGTTGGATACTAAATGTGAACACTTTTGCTAATGTGAATTTGAATCTTATTTCATCACATTGTGAGAGACTAACCCCTTTTGCTAGTGTCAACTCACGTTGATAAAATTACAAGAAAATAGAGAAAATATGATTATGACAAATACATGTGTTTAGAAAGTACTTACATGTAGAAAATCCCCGATGTTTACAACTAGAGATCCATGCACTGGATGAACATCAACCCATTGATTCTCATGGAGAACTTGAAGACCACCCATCTGGTCTTGTAGAAGAATTGTCATGAAATCACTATCTGTGTGCTTTGAAGTGCCCAGAGTTAATTCAGGTTCGGGGCAGGCAGGGTAGTAGTGACACAAAATAAATTGTCCATCAGCAGAGTCCAATTCATTAAGGTATGAAGGATTGATGCCAAGTGCTTCTGAGAATAGTTCAAAGATTGTATAGCCCAATGCTCTTATTTTCTTTGAGTATTCAATCACAATGTCTCTAAAGATACACGATTATGTCATCAAAGGAAAAGGTTCAAAAATTTGATAGGGTCTACAAGTGAAATGCATAAGTGAAATCCTCTGGGGCTTGGGCTGTTCTAAAATGAGTAAGTGTATAAAATGAAAAAGTAAGTTCACTGTTGATTGGAATTAAAGTGTTTTACATAAGCTTAACTAATTTTCAATCAACAGCAGATATACTCCTAGTTTCTCATTTTATACTCTTGTTCACTTTGGATGAGACCAATAAATGTCATGTAACAGATATGAAATATAAGAAATATTCCATAGATATTGTTGTTAAGGGTGAGTTTTACTTTTTGCAGATTTTCTTGTTTTCTTTTTTGTTGTTGTTAATACTTGTAAAAATGTCATCTTATTTTTCACACGTAGTATTTTTTGTAAATATCGATATAAATAAAAATAATAATAAAAACAGACTATGTTCACAGACCTACTTATCTTATGACTAATTTTCTCGTATCATAATTTTCTCTTTGAAACGAGTCTTTACTTCAAGGGAAAAAATAATTAATTAATATTTGATGCTACACTTCATAATAAATCAAAGATTTTTTTTAATCCACTTTAATTGTTTACCTGTTAACTATGATGCCTAATCTTTTCTTCTAAACTAAGTTGCTTACTTTAGATAACTTACTTGTTATACTTTTTACTAGTTAAATTGATTTATATATCTTGTACCATAAAAAAGGTAAGTGTAACAATGGTCCACCTTTGTAATTTTTCAATTCACTGCAAAGTTATTCAAACATGGTCAAATACCAAGACCACTTGTAAGCCACCCGAAGGATAAGTAATCACATGATGGTGTCAAGTGGCAAAATTAGTACTAGTAACATTACCTGCATACTACTGGTATTTCTTCTGGATTGGGAGGATCAGGACTTAGAAAAAATGAAATTGTATCCCTCCAATTAGCACCCTTGCCTCTGAAAGGGTTAACATTGGAGAAGTATCTGACTTTCTTATTGCTATCTCTGGAGTAAAAGGTTTTCCTCACCTCATCATCTTGTTCATTAAACCTACGAATTCCACATATCATCTCATCCAAGACCTCAACGCCAATACCATGATTGATCACCTGAAAAAAACCCCACTTCTTGCATGCACTTCGAATCTTGTCCACTACTTCAGCATGTAGGGATGAGTTTGTGTTTATGTCTTGGAGGTCTATGATGGGGACACTCAACTTTGAGTCACTTTTTGTGGCCTCATTGAGGTCTAACTTGGCATGATGGAACATGCGTGGAATCTTTGTTACCCCAGAGTCTAATAGGCCTTTCACACCAAGTTTTGTGTCATCAAATGCTTTGACTTCAGCTGTTCTATCATAAGTGGAATTGTTACTTGCCTCTGACTCTAACTTGTTTGTGCTTGTGACCACCATGTCGGGAAACTTGCAGAAAATACTCTCAAATCACCAATTATGTTACTCCCTTAAAAAGACAGTGAAGGGAGGACAATGAAATGGCTGGTTGGTAGGGTGGAAAAAGTAGGCACGTTTTATAATTTGAGAAAATAGTCTATTCATGATGGAACACACAGTTTTTACTCTTTCATTCATTAAGAAATTACCATATATGATAAGTTTAAGTCTTACAAAACTACCTTAAAAGTCATACCTACATCAACCAAGATTTCTGATTGGTTGTTAGTGTGAAACTCTTTACACTGACCGTGCATAAGATTTAAACTCATTATTTACTCTGCTTGAGGCTAAACATGAATTAAGCCTTCTTGTTCTATTTGAAAACCACATTTGAATTAAATATTTCTGCTTACCTTCACTGATAGTACTACATATTGTATCCATCACCCTCTTGACTAAGACAACCAACTTATTTAATTAAAGATTCTCACAAAAACTATAGAAGTCATACAGGTCGGGTTCCTTAGATGGGTTAGAATTGCTTAAAATAAAGGTGCTGACGTCCCAAGGGGAAAATTATGGCCAAAGGGGCCATGATGATTCAATCGATGACAACACTGGAGATAAAAGTATAAAACAAATTTTGGTTGAAAAAGAAGCAATACTGCTCAATCCGTTTTTCATCTGAAAAATCATTATTCAGCACATTATATTATACAATTTGCTTTTGAAAAGTTCCTAATTAACTTTTTTTTTTCTTGTGTAGAATCGTCACACTAATGTTAGTACCAATGACCTTATGCTTATTACCCAAATCCCTGTTATTGAGTCGCTCCTAGTGAGTTAATTTACATATTATTTGAATTCATTAGAAAATTTAACTAATTAAATAAACTAAATTCTCAACAGAAATTTCATTGTTATAACATCTATTTTGATTTTAAAAATATTGTCTGGAGTTGCTTTGACTGAATTAATTCATTTTGGTAAATTGAAATCTTGGTCGATCACTTCTGGGTTGACATGATTATTAGTTTTCTTTTTTCCAAACAAAGTACTGTGACATGTTATGTTACAGTATATACTATGTATGTAGATTGATTTAATCAGGAAGGTGGTCCAATTCCAACCACTCTTTCATGAGAACGCTAAATAAAATAAATTCAGGGGTGTAATTGAGAATAATATACTCAGAAGTCTATATTGTATCATAAATATCATAATACAGAAACTAGAAGCTTTGCTCGTGTGCAGTACAAATGATTAAGGATGATGCCTTAACCTTGTTCTGTCTCTAAAACTTGATGCTGTTAATTTAAAATTCACAGGATAGTAAGATACTGATTATCATAATTCATAGTCAATGGCACAAGTTAACCATAATAAAATGCACACTAAAGCCAACTCCAAGAGAATCGAGAGTGCTCCAATCAAATTCTCAACAGTCACTTCACAACCTAAAGGAGTGCAAGGAAGAGTTCCCATCAAGGCCTTTTTCAAAATAATGTGCTTTGACATCTTTTACCGTGGTATCCCTGTAGAGTGGTGGATTGTCTTCTGATAACAGTTCCTTTATTGGACCAACAACCTTTGAGCTACCCTGTGGTGTTGAGTTAACAAAGAAGCTTGCTACAGAAATTCTAGGGCCTGTATGCCTTGATAAGACTCGATGATAGACACTAACAAACTTGTCATTTGTTAGAAGCTGCACCAACAAGGAGATTGATAAATATGATCAACAAAAGTTGTGTATGTCTGAGATTTTATTTCTGATATATCATAATAGATGGCAGAAGCACAAAAATTTATAAAGCAGAACATGACATTTGTTACGACGTTTTGGGGGTTGGAGTAACATGCATAAGGTCTTAGATTCAAACCTTGATACCATTATTATAATATTTCGTACTTATCAAAAAAAGATGATAATCTAATTAAAGAGCTGAAGATATTTTTGGTCACTATAATGAGGATGTCTCACCATGATACAAATTAGATGGTTAAAACTTAAAATAAAGGCACCAAGAGTTGTTTGTGATCGTGAGGTATATTTATCAAGTTCAAAAGGAAGTTTTATTATAAATTTATACATCCGACTATATTCTACGATGGTGAATATTGAGCTTTAAAGAGACCCAAGAGAAAAATGTGAGAGTGGCATAAATAAGGATGTTAACATGAAGGACATGATACAAAATAAATATTGGTGTGACTCCAATTGAGGAAAAGATAACAGAAAATTGGTTAAAGTGGTTTGGAGTTTGGACACATGTAGAGAAGACCGCTAGAAACTTTTCAAATATTATACATGTGTTTACCTGTAGAAAATCCCCAATGTTTACAACAAGAGATCCATGCACTGGATGAACATCAATCCATTTATTCTCATGAAGAACTTGAAGACCACCCATTTGGTCTTGTAGAAGAATTGTCAAGAAACTATTATCAGTGTGCTTTGAGGCACCCATAGTTAATTCAGGTTCAGGGCATGGTGGATAGTAGTGACACAAAAGAAATTGTCCATCAGCAGACTCCAATTCATTAAGGTAAGAAGAATGAAGGCCAAGAGCCTCTGAGAATAGCTCAAAGATTGTAAAGCCCAGTGCCCTTACTTTCTCTGAATATTCAATCACAATGTCCCTGCAAAAACATTATTATTTCATCATAGACAAAGGGAAAAGGTCGAAATTTGATAGGGGGTCTACAAGTGAATTGCACAAGTAACTTGGACTACATGTGAATGTGTGATGTAATAAACATGAGTGAAAATTTTTGCACAGTTGTTGCTAAACTACTGATGGTGCTTAATGTGTGGAATTTATTTTTTAACTTTTTGAATGATAATTACAAAAATGCAACCTATTTTACCAGTGATATTTTTGTACTCATTAACAAGCTTAGAAGAAAAAAAATCTTGTGAAGCAGCACTCCCACCGCTTTCTGCTGTTTTGCTTGCATGAAACTCTTTTAAAATTTAAAGTGAACCTTTATTTTAATATTTTCAATCATTGATGAGAACCAATGAGTGATATTATAAGCTACTACATTGCAGAGTTATTACACTGTACTTTCCATAAAAAACCTAGAACAGCTATGAACAACTAAATTTTCAATTTACTGCATAGACAGACTGATGATAAATACCAGGACCATTGGAAAACCTTATTTCTTAAGAATTTAATTGCAATACCCAGATAATCATTCAATTTATGTATTCTTGTAATAATTACATAGATTATATCTAGGATGATTTCTAATTAGTTAATAGCTTAAAAATTAGTAAGAGAAAAACATGTTTCGAGTCCTTATACTTTTGATCAAATGTGGTCAAAGTCCTTATACTTTCATACTGATAAACATGTGGATTTAGTCTCTCATCTTTAAGAATTCATCATGCTTTAGAGAAACAAAAATAGAAAAAAAAACTCAGAAATTAACGTGGTTCGGCAATTCTTGCCTACATCCACAAATACACTCAATAAATTATTTTATTTCTCCACTTGCAATTTTTACAAGGATAAAATTACAAACCTTCTCACACAATTTTTGCACGAAAAAACTGCAAACCATCTCTTGACACACAACTACCCAAGTCCCCAACCCAAGAACTAGAGTTGTTGTGGTGAATAGACCCAAACTATCACCCCTTATTTATAGTAGTAGTCTACTACTTCTCTTCTTCAAAACTACCTGATGTGAGACTTTGGAGGATACCCACACACTTTGGGCACAACATATCCTCCCTTCATCCAAAGTCTCACATTAATCCATCATCATTCACAAGTTTTCTGGCAAAACTTGGAAACTCCTTCTCACAAGTTTTTCTGACGAAACTTGAAAACCATCTTCCTCACAAGTTTTTCTGGCGAAACTTGAAAACCTCTTCTTACAAGTTTTTTTGGTAAAACTTGAAAACCCCTTCCTCACAAGTTTTCTGACGAAACTTGAAAACTCCTTCTTTTCCTCATGAGTGCGGGACATCTTTTCCTCCCTGGTACACTGCTTCTCTTCCTCCCTTGGTCAAAACCTCAATTCTTTTCTCATGTGGAAGATCAAACAATGTTGCAACCACTAAGCATACTAAGAATTAAAAATCCCACAGAGCCCTACCACACCAACAGGCTCTGATACTAAGAATTAAGAAAGGGTTAAATTCACGTGTTTTTTTTAAAGATTGTAGATCAAATTCATCAATGTGAAAGTATAGGGACCTCGACCACGTTTTATAACGTTTTAACCAAAGTATAGGGACTAAAAACACTTTGTTCTTTTCATTAGTAAACTATTATGAAGGGTAACATTACCTGCATACTGCTGGTATTTCTTCTGGCATTGGAGGGTCAGGAGTCAGAAAAAAGGAAATCGTGTCCCTCCAATTAGCAGCAGGGTCTTTGAAAAGAGTACCATTGGAGAAATACCTAACTTTCTTATTCAAATCCCTGCAGTAAAATCTTTTCCTCACCTCACCATCTTGTTCATGAAACCTACGGATTCCACATATCATCTCATCCAAAACCTCAACACCAATACCATGATTCACCACCTGGAAGAACCCCCACTCCTTGCATGCACTTCGGATCTTGTCAAGTGCTTCCACACGCAGGGATGAGTTTGTGTCTATGTCTTGGAGGTCTATGATGGGAACTCCATGATTTTAGTAAAAATATGATCTGCAAGTCCTGCATGTAGACAAGTGATGGCTTTATCTTTCTTCAGCTTCTCCTCCTCATAAGCTTTGATTTGTGCAATGGTTGGATTTTCTCTCAATGGTGGTGGATCAGCTTCAGAAATTACAACATTCCATAAGCCTTGAGATCTTAAAACAAATTTCATCTTGACGGCCCAAATATGATAATTTTCACCATTAAACATTGGAATTGCAGGTGACTTGGTGGAAGTAGACATCCTTGAGCCAAAACACTTGCAATTTTTACAAGGATAAAATTACAAACCTTCTCACACAATTTTTGCACGAAAAAACTGCAAACCATCTCTTGACACACAACTACCCAAGTCCCCAACCCAAGAACTAGAGTTGTTGTGGTGAATAGACCCAAACTATCACCCCTTATTTATAGTAGTAGTCTACTACTTCTCTTCTTCAAAACTACCTGATGTGAGACTTTGGAGGATACCCACACACTTTGGGCACAACATATCCTCCCTTCATCCAAAGTCTCACATTAATCCATCATCATTCACAAGTTTTCTGGCAAAACTTGGAAACTCCTTCTCACAAGTTTTTCTGACGAAACTTGAAAACCATCTTCCTCACAAGTTTTTCCTCAATTTTGTGTTTGCACTCAACCTCAATGTGTTTAGCTCAATAAACTTTTCCTCACAGACTGTAAGAAGCAAGCTCTTGATACCACTTGTTGGACACTAGTGGGAAAAGAAAACTTCATCAGCGGAAGCACACACACGAGAGAAACAAAAATAGAAAAAAAAACTCAGAAATTAACGTGGTTCGGCAATTCTTGCCTACATCCACAAATACACTCAATAAATTATTTTATTTCTCCACTTGCAATTTTTACAAGGATAAAATTACAAACCTTCTCACACAATTTTTGCACGAAAAAACTGCAAACCATCTCTTGACACACAACTACCCAAGTCCCCAACCCAAGAACTAGAGTTGTTGTGGTGAATAGACCCAAACTATCACCCCTTATTTATAGTAGTAGTCTACTACTTCTCTTCTTCAAAACTACCTGATGTGAGACTTTGGAGGATACCCACACACTTTGGGCACAACATATCCTCCCTTCATCCAAAGTCTCACATTAATCCATCATCATTCACAAGTTTTCTGGCAAAACTTGGAAACTCCTTCTCACAAGTTTTTCTGACGAAACTTGAAAACCATCTTCCTCACAAGTTTTTCTGGCGAAACTTGAAAACCTCTTCTTACAAGTTTTTTTGGTAAAACTTGAAAACCCCTTCCTCACAAGTTTTCTGACGAAACTTGAAAACTCCTTCTTTTCCTCATGAGTGCGGGACATCTTTTCCTCCCTGGTACACTGCTTCTCTTCCTCCCTTGGTCAAAACCTCAATTCTTTTCTGATGTGGAAGATCAAACAATGTTGCAACCACTAAGCATACTAAGAATTAAAAATCCCACAGAGCCCTACCACACCAACAGGCTCTGATACTAAGAATTAAGAAAGGGTTAAATTCACGTGTTTTTTTTAAAGATTGTAGATCAAATTCATCAATGTGAAAGTATAGGGACCTCGACCACGTTTTATAACGTTTTAACCAAAGTATAGGGACTAAAAACACTTTGTTCTTTTCATTAGTAAACTATTATGAAGGGTAACATTACCTGCATACTGCTGGTATTTCTTCTGGCATTGGAGGGTCAGGAGTCAGAAAAAAGGAAATCGTGTCCCTCCAATTAGCAGCAGGGTCTTTGAAAAGAGTACCATTGGAGAAATACCTAACTTTCTTATTCAAATCCCTGCAGTAAAATCTTTTCCTCACCTCACCATCTTGTTCATGAAACCTACGGATTCCACATATCATCTCATCCAAAACCTCAACACCAATACCATGATTCACCACCTGGAAGAACCCCCACTCCTTGCATGCACTTCGGATCTTGTCAAGTGCTTCCACACGCAGGGATGAGTTTGTGTCTATGTCTTGGAGGTCTATGATGGGAACTCTCAACTTTGAGTCACATGGTGAGGTCTGAGTGTGATCCTCCACCTTGGTAGAATAGAACATGCGTGGCATCTTTGTGACCCCAGATTCTAAGAGCCCTTTCACACCAAGTTTTGTTTCGTCAAAGGCTTTTACTTCAGCTATTCTGTCATAAGTTGAATCCTTACCTGTCTCTGACTCTAACAGATTTGAGGCTTTGGCCGCCATACTGGGAAACTGCCAGAAAATGCAAGTTTTTTCTGTGTAACAGAGATAAAAATAACTAGATACTGATATCTTGTAAAGATAGAATAGCTAGAGAAGGGAGACAGTGCTAGCCACCATTGTGGAACAAGTATGCATAATTTAATTTTTAATTTCTATCCAACTAGAGGGGCCACATTGAAAACCACTTTTGATTTGTAAAAAAGAGTTTTGCACGTGATTTGTTAGCTAGTTTGGTTTTCAAAGTTTATTTTGACGTGAATAAAATAGATTAAGACATACTTTTTTATTTGCAGGGTCAAGTTAAAAGAAAATTACAAAGAACGACGTCTCTATCATAAAGTTTATGAGACTAAATATCTGCAGATAAATTAATAGCAAATTAATAGTGAGTGGCTTATTAAAGCTATCAATATTTTATAATAGACTCTCTGATACCATCTTAAAAATATAAGTTTGAAGTTAAATTTATTAAAAAATTTGACTTAAAAATGAAAATTATTCTTCACTTATATTATGTATATTCTAATTTAACCATACACTAGTTCGAAGTGGGATCTCTAACATGTGACAATGTTTTGAAATATTTACAATTTTATTATGTAGACATGGAGTCTCTCAGTCCAACCTTCACAAAATGGCTATTCTTGGTTCTGAAGTGATAGAAAAGGAAAGCAATTTTTTAGTGATATTTTACTGCAGAAAATTTGTCATGATTTCAGAATGTGCATGGTGAAATACATGATTTAAAACTGAGAATATATAGAGCTTCAAGCCTTCAACCAACTCCAAAAAATATAGTTACTGTACTTGACAGCGACAAAAATATGAAAAACAGGTTGATTCCCACAAAAACATAAGAAGTTATTGTCATAATACAATAAGTTATGTATTTTAGTACAATTGATTGAATTTAGCTTTACTTTTTGCTTCTAGAGCTTAATGCTGTTTATTGAAATTTAAAGAGATACAGAAAATGAAAGCCAAAGGCAAGTATCGACAATGATAAATGCAGACTAAAGCCAATGAGAATCATATACTTTATAATTGCTTCACAGCCTTAAGGGCTGCAAGTAAGAGTTTCCATCAAGGCCTTTTGCATAATAGTTTGTCAAGATTTCTTTCATAGTAATGTCCCTGTAGACTGGAGGGTTTTCTTCAGATAGCAATTCCTTTATTGGACCATAAATCTTCGATGTACATTCAGATATAGTAAAATTCATGAAGAAGGTTGCTACAGAAATTCGAGGGCCTATATTCTTTGACAAGACCCGGTGATAAACACTGATGAACCTGTCGTTTGTCATAAGCTGCACCAACAAAAAGGAAATTGATAATTATAGTCATGAAAAATTGTGTATAGTAATAGTAATATAATGAAAAATATTTTAGTTTAGACTGTTTAGTACACTTCTATGTTGCATCTTGTACTTTATATGATTCCTTTTGAAAATGCCAACAATGATACATTTCCCACCATGTTATTATATCGACACTAGAAATTTTCTTTCTGTACTTGAAAGAACATATAGATTACCATCATTTTTGTGAAAAACTAGAGATTACAAGGTAGAAAGATCATCCAGAGAGAACAATAAGATTAGGCAAATGCATAACAATAACAAAGATAAACCATAGGCTATGAAGTAATTACAGAAACATTTGGAAAAGATAAGTTGGAATGAACAAATTTGTGGGGTATAGGTGTATATGGTGCAACATCAAAAGTATAAGCACTGACTTGTGGGTAGTATAATATGAAGCATCTATGATAATCATTTCATTGAATAGATAATTATTATGTTATGTCAAAACTACTTATCTTTCTTATAATGATGATTATTCAAGTTTTTTTTGGCAAATCTTCGCATCAATAACAGGTTTCTCTCCAAAAAGAAACACTTATCTTTAGAAAACATAACAATAAACTGTTACGGAAGTTACCTGTAGAATATCTCCAATGTTTACAACAAGAGCTCCGTGCACTGGAGGAACATCAACCCATTGATTCTCATGAAGAACTTGAAGGCCACCTATCTGGTCTTGCAGAAGTATTGTCATGAAGTCACAGTCAGTGTGCTTTGTAATTCCCATAGTTAGTTCAGGTTCAGGGCATTGTGGATAGTATTGACCCAAAATATACAGTGCCTCAGCACAGTCCATTTCTTTGAAGTAAGAAGGTTTAAGGCCAAGAGCCTCTGACAATAGCTCAAAGATTGTAATGCCCAAAATCCTTACTTTTTTGGTATATTCAGCCACAATATCTCTACAAATGCATATGATTATTTCATCAATGACAAGAAATTTGATAGGTTCTCCAAGTGAAATCTACATATAAGTGGCTTTGAATAAGTGCCATGTGACAAACCACGTTGCTATGCTTGAAATTGTGTTGTTTATATAAAACTAATTTTAGTTTTGCATGGCATAAATATATAAATTTATTTGGTTAAAATTTATATTATATATATATATATAGAAAGAGAGAGAGAGGGATTTAATTAAGTTTTTAGTCCTCCAGTATATATTTTTTTATCTCCAATTTGAAACTTATGTTTTTAATCCGTAAAATATTAAAAAAAATTATTATTTTGATCTTTCAAATTTAAAATTTATCTTTTTAATCTTTGTAAAAATTATTTTAGTCATTAATATTATAATTGAAAGTGATAAATTGATAGAAATTAAAATAATAATTTTTGATATTTCACTATTTTGGGGACTGAACACACAAATTTTAAATTTGAGGATAAAAAATTATATATCTCAAATTTAATGTGTACTTTTAAATTTACAATGAAAATTTTAAAATGTGATATATAGCTATTTTTAAGTACTGACTATTTTAAAAATCTATTAGAACTTAATTTGGAGAAAGAAATAAAAGAAGGAAATGAAAAAAAAAATGTATGGCTAAGAAAATTAAATGTACAAATAAGATAAAAAGAAGAATTTGAAATAATTGAGAAAAAAATAGCTTGTTGAATATAGTGTGTGAAAAATAATATTGATAATGTTTATTTAAAAGTGGTGAGACAGATAGTCTCAACATTATTTTTTGTTGTTGAATATGTTTGTAAATATGACAAATAATCTTAGTTTTAGAAGAAAATGAAAAAAAATTGTCTATGCATTTATACAAACTACACTCTTATTAAAAAAAAATAAAAAAAAATAGCCATTTGAAAGTGTATCTTTCTTATTTAAAAAAAAACAAAAAAAAATAATAGAGTGAAATAGTTATTTAAAATAATGTTTTAAAAATCATTAAATCGATCCAGATACTGAATCAATAAGTTAAGAATTCAACCAGCAGGTTACTAATTCAACTACATGATCCAATCTTTATTATTCTTTAAAAAAATATATATTTATGTTACATATATTTCATACCTATAAATTTCAATAATATTCATATGATATCTTAAAAAAATCCAAAAAAAAAAATGATTAGAGTCAATATAATAATATTTGGTAAAACAGTCAAATTATAAATTAGTTGAACCACTTAAATTAATATAGTTAAATATATAACTTTAAATTAAAAATATATTATATAAATTATTTAAGAAAATTATATAACAATAAAGTATATTGACATAATAATCACTAAAGAAATAAATAATTATATTCATATGTCTTCAAGTTTTATCTTATCTAAAATTACTTTTTATAGAATGAATAAATATATAGAAAAGTATTTTATCATAAAAAAATTAATCAAAAGTATCGAATGTCATCAATAAAAAAAATATAACTATATAATATTTATTATATATAATATATTTATCAAGTATAATCACAAAAAATGATTTGTCCTAGTGGTCATGTTACATGTATGTTGTCCAGTAACTACAAGATGCAGATTTGATTCTCTCCTATGCTGTTTTTGGTAGATTGTATTTTAAGACAATTTCAGCATGCACGAGATTCCCGCAATGCCACTAAAAAAAAAATTAATAATAAAATAAAATAAAAAATCAACAACAAAAACCACTGGTTCAATTTCAACAAATTTATACCGGTTTGAATCGGTTTAATGATGCCATTCTCCGATCAGATACAAGTGATCCAATTATCAACTCGGTCCAGTGTATTGACCGGATCTCGATCGGACCGATTGGTCAATCTAAATCAAATGTTAAAACTATTATTTGAAAGGTGTGACTAATTTATAATTTATGAAGGAGATTTTAAAATTATGATTTGAAAGATGTGATTAGTTTATAATTTATGAAAGAGTAGTTTAATGATAAAATTAGAATTAAAAAATGTATGTAAAAAAGATCTATCATTTTTATTATAATTATTAAAAAAGTTAAAATATTCATGTTTTTATATTTTATTTAATAAAAATGTTTAAAAATTATTAATATTTGTTAGATAAATTAGTATTATATTTAATCCTCAAATATCAAAGTTTTATATTTATAAAAATAATTAATTGTTAACATTTTTTTATAATTTAAAAATTTAAAAGTAAAATTATTTAAAAATATATATATCATATCATATTATCACTTTTATATATGTTATATATTATATAAAAAAATAATTTGTGATAACTATACCCTTTAATTAGAATTTTACTTTTTTATCAAACATTTTATTATAAAGAAGATAAATCATCATCATCTCTCGAATCTTCTAAAAAATAAATATGCATGAGCACAAGTGCTTGCTTCTCTTACTATAAAAATAATTTATTATTTTTACATACACAATTTTAAGATAATTATATCTTTTATTTATTATGATAACTGCACATTTCTTTCTTTTAGTATAAGATAACTTAGTAATTTCATTTTATTAATATAAATAAAAATTATTATTTATCAAAAACATTCTGCATACATTATCAAATAATTATTTTACAATATCAAATAATTGTTTTGAAACTTCTACATGCCTTTTTTTTTGCCACAAGTATATAATAAAAGTCATACTATTTTACACATGACAGCCTTAAAAAATATAATCTCTCTATTCCTTTTTATTTATTAAATTTTTAGTAAAATTTTGTTTTTAATTACTTAACATTTTTAAATTTTAAGATAACATTAATCATTATATTATCTATCATACTCTTACATCTCCTATAACTAGAGATGGCAATGGAGCCCCATGGAAGCGAGTAATAGTAAACTCGTCCCCGCCCTACTGAATGAAAATTAGTCTCATACCCAACTTATATTTACGCGGGTATCCATTAAGCGGATATCCATGAATTTCTTGAATACTCACGGATATCCATGGATATTTATAAAATTTTTAAGAAATTTAAAAAATTATATTACAAATAATTTTAAGTTTATATTTTAATGTTATTGAAATATTAAAAATAAAAATTCAATGTTAATTTTGTTGAAATAATAATAAAAATTCAAGATAATCAATAACTTAAAATACATCAATCTCACAAGTAAGTTAAAGTCTCATCACAAAGCTATAATAATTCAATCTCATAATTCCAAATGAAGGTAAACAACTTAAAATACATAAATCTTATTGGTCCAATCAAAACTAGAAAATTAATCAAATTACATCCAACATAATTTTATAACATGCTTAACACATGTCGGTAACTTCATCAACCTCATTTTTGTAAGAAAATAAGATGAGAGAGTGTAGTTTTAGGGTTATGTAGTACAAAGATAATTAAGATATTTAAGAAATAATATTAAACGGGTACCCGCGAGTGTGGATATCATCATACTCGTCCCTGCCCCATTTATAAATGGGTAAAAAATTATTCATCCCTATTATCCTCAACTACCCAATTAACCTACCCATTTATTATCCGCAACAGATTTTATCCACAAATACCCGCGCGTACAAGTATTTTTGTCATGCCTACCTATAACTTTTAACTTACTCATGAGAATTAATATGTATTTATTACACAAGAGTATAATAAAAAAAAATAAAAATTATTCTACATAGAAAAAGAAAACAAGAAGATTTTAGTGTATTTAATTTGTTAGTTCAGGAGATAGTAAATATTTAAACACTTTCTACCTTAGTGGACTCTATAGCTCTGATAAATGTATTTGAAAATTGAAAGATGGAATTACCTGCATATAGGTGGCATATGATGATGTGGAGGAGGATGAGGATTGGCAACGAAAGCAATGGTGTCTCTCCAATTAGCAGCCATGTCCCTAAACAGCTTCCCATTCGAGAAATACCGAACTCTCTTCTCATTCTCCCGACAGTAAAACCGCTTCCTCTCTTCACCATCCTGCTCATGAAACCCACCGATCCCACGCAACATCTCCTCCAACACCTCAACGCCGATCCCATGATTCACCACCTGAAAGAACCCCCACTCGCGGCACGCGCTCCCCACCGCCTCCACCGCCTCCACGCGCCGTTTTGCGTTCTTCTCTATGTCGCCGAGGTCCACGACGGGGATGCTCAAGTTGGAGTGGCTCCGTGACGTGGCGGTGGGGTCCTCCTTCACGTGGAACATGGGTGGGACCCTCGTTATTCCCGAATCTAGGATTCCTTTGACGCCGGTCTTGGACTCGTCGAATGCTATGACCTCGGCTTTTCTGCTGCTGGACACGCGCGCTGACGGTGCTTTGGGGTGCATGGTTGGAGACTGGAGGTTGAGAAGGTGGAGAGAATGGAAGGGTGAACCACTTGCCATGGATGAATCAATAAAAGTGGAACACAGATATGTATCATAAACTATATTATAACTTATCAGGTTTTACCAATTTTAAAATAATTAAGGGTGGATAAACTAAACTAAACTGAATAATGAGTTTAAGATTAGTTTGTTTGAGCTTTAATTACATATCAATTATGCGAACTGTATTGGGTTTTTTTTTTACGTTATAAAATTTGAAGTCTACTGTAATTTGAATTGAATTGAATATTTTGAATTAAATTGTTTTCATCTTTTAGTTTGTCAAGATAGAATAAATTCGTCAAATTTATTTTATTTATATTTTTCAAAGAGAAATATATCAGAAAATATCAAATTAAATAAATTTGATAGACCTCAAACTTAAAAATTAGTGATCTAGCAAAGTTCAATTTTCATGTTGAAATCAATTAAATTGACACAATTTTTTTCAAATCATTTGATATCTGTTCTTACCGGAATTTGGTCGTAGGGGTGATCCGTC